CCTCATCTGTAGCTAAGCAGCCAGCATTTTCCCTCCGGTTGTCACGGTAGCAGATGTGTATGGGCCCGTTGACGTCAAAGCCCAGATCCAATGGCAGACTCGCGCTGCATCAGACCAGTAATGTTGCATCATTAGGCTCAGGTTCATATCAATATGGATGCAAAGCATGACTCTAGAGCTTAAGTGAGCGTGAGATGATTGTTGGGGTGCTTTCACACCTGTAGATCGATTGCTTTGTTCCAAAACAGGGATTAAAATTATTACAGTGTTGCGTTTTATTTTTGGTGCGGTTCGCTTTCACACGGCAACGTTTCTAAATGGACCCAATTTGTTAATACAAGTCACGCGTGAGTAAACTGTTCTCTCATTGGTCAAAGTTTCACGGTTTATTTTCCGGGATTCCACCAGTATCATGGCTGTCATCCATCATCAGGATGGAATGACAACAGCTTTGCGGGCTTATTGTTGTTGTTTTTTGTAGCTGTCGTTATATTAATTTATCATTTTGAGCAGGAGTCCAGGATTCATCGGGAAAACATTTTTAAAATGCACCTACTAGGAAGAAGAGCAATAAGACGGCATTAGAAAAATGAAAAAGTGCGCTTTGATTTTGAATGGCGAAGACGTGCTCACTCAGACATTCACAGGTTCATTTTGAGGTATTTGCAAAACAAAGCTAATGCTTTTCACGGAACTTACGTAATTACCCATTATAAATTGTGATACAGCCTGGTTCGTTAGATCGGATTGCTTTCTCGCTACAACCGAACCGCTCCAGAGTTCGTTTTCAATCGAGCCGAGACCACCTCGTTCAGGCGATCTCGGACCGATTGTTTTGGCGCGGATCCGAGCGCGATTACCATGTTAACATATGCCCAAACGACCCGAGCTAAGGGGGGAAACGCGCCAGGTTCCGAAACAACGGGCCAGGTGTGAAAGCACCCTTACTCAGGTTTCTCAAACCCGAAATACTGTGTGTCATAAAATCATGTTTAAACGTGACGACATATAAAAATCTGACTTTTTCTGTGTTTAAGTGCTATAATCGGGTCTCCGGTGCATCTACCAACCCGAAAACATGAAAAAGAACAACCCAGTATTTTTATTTTTTATTTTTTTTGGTAAGCCGTTTTCTGTAAGCTTGTGAAAATACGAGACACTCACAGGGTTCCAGACTGTGACCAAATGGTCGCATTTTGTGAAGTGTTTGAATTCGCCGCAGAATGAATAAAGGTTGCTGTGAGATCTAGTGAGATGCATTAAAATTCTGCACAGAATTCTCTGTTATAAACAGATCAAACAGCGCTGACATAGAAAACGAGAAGCAGTAACGCTTGGAGGTGGGCGATATGAGCTAAAATTCATATAACAATATTTTACACTGTCCAGGCGATATCGATATTATATTGCGATATGAGAAAAACAAATATTACAGGCAAAATATTTTAACCTTATTTAACTAGAAAACGTGAGGGTTCACCTGAAAAGTATTTTTTTATTTTTAAGTGCAAACGTGCAACATGAGGTAGACATGTATGAATTGTGTGTTTGAGTAGGCCAGTGATCCCCCCCCATGTCAATGTCACATGATCCTTCAGAAATTATTCTAATATGCTAATTTGCTGCTCAGTAACCATTTCTGATCATTGTCAATGTTGTAAACATTTGTGCTGCTTAATATGCTTGAGGAAGCTATTTTTTCACGAGTCTCTTATGAATATTTGAAATGGTCCTTTGTGTCAGAGTGCTGTTCGTCAGAAATAGAACGGGGCATCAGTTTACTGTCATGGATTTGTCGTGTCGCGTCGTGCCGCATCCACAGCAGAGAACATCACTGGGTTCTATTTGCTTTCGCCAAATCGCGCCGCTCGTGTCTGGTGTAGACACCTTGTTTTGGTATTTGTGAATCTTAAGTATATTCATAATCTGCTTTACGTTTACCTGGCACTGGAAGTCCTTTCTCAAACTTGTTACTTTCATGCTTAGAGCAGAACCATGCATCGTTCATTTAATGTCAATGTCACATGATCCTTCAGAAATTATTCTAATATGCTAATTTGCTGCTCAGTAACCATTTCTGATCATTGTCAATGTTGTAAACATTTGTGCTGCTTAATATGCTTGAGGAAGCTATTTTTTCACGAGTCTCTTATGAATATTTGAAATGGTCCTTTGTGTCAGAGTGCTGTTCGTCAGAAATAGAACGGGGCATCAGTTTACTGTCATGGATTTGTCGTGTCGCGTCGTGCCGCATCCACAGCAGAGAACATCACTGGGTTCTATTTGCTTTCGCCAAATCGCGCCGCTCGTGTCTGGTGTAGACACCTTGTTTTGGTATTTGTGAATCTTAAGTATATTCATAATCTGCTTTACGTTTACCTCGTTCATTTATATTTCTACATGGCTCCCTGCAATACAACTCTGATTCTTCAATCATGCCATCTAGGGGTCTGTTAATGATACAACCACAACTGATAACGGAGAGCTCAAGCGGGGGTACTGTGAGTCATGTTGAGGTCATTAAAATGTGTCAGATTAATATTTTGCATTTGCATTTACTTGTCAGGCAAGTGGCCGCATGATAAGTGGGAAAATTACGCAGTGTAGTCTTATCACCCTGCAGAGGTTTCTTTTGCTAAATAATCTGTTGACTGTACACAGTCCCTCAGTTTGGGAACCACTGGAGTAGGCGATTTGTGCTCTATTAACTTGGTCTGTTACGATGCTCTATGTGCTTGATTACTAATGCCTGTGTAGTATGGCATTGCACACAGAAGACAAAAACATTCAGCCTCAACTCTTTATCGTCATTTGTGTTCAAATTTGCAAAGCATACCAAATTGAACAAAACAATATAAATGCAAAATTTGCATTCATGAATATATAACGGTATCCATGGTATAGCAAAATCCATGGAACAACATAATACTGGGGGTCTGTTAATGATACAACCACAACTGATAACGGAGAGCTCAAGCGGGGGTACTGTGAGTCATGTTGAGGTCATTAAAATGTGTCAGATTAATATTTTGCATTTGCATTTACTTGTCAGGCAAGTGGCCGCATAAGTGGGAAAATTACGCAGTGTAGTCTTATCACCCTGCAGAGGTTTCTTTTGCTAAATAATCTGTTGACTGTACACAGTCCCTCAGTTTGGGAACCACTGGAGTAGGCGATTTGTGCTCTATTAACTTGGTCTGTTACGATGCTCTATGTGCTTGATTACTAATGCCTGTGTAGTATGGCATTGCACACAGAAGACAAAAACATTCAGCCTCAACTCTTTATCGTCATTTGTGTTCAAATTTGCAAAGCATACCAAATTGAACAAAACAATATAAATGCAAAATTTGCATTCATGAATATATAACGGTATCCATGGTATAGCAAAATCCATGGAACAACATAATACTGGTAGTCACGTTCATACCGGTATAGCGCCCACCCCTAGTAACGCTAACTGTAACCATGGTGTTGTGGTAGAAATAGTCAAATGTTATTACATTATTCATTTCAGGGTTTGTACAACATTTTAAGAGAGAAATGCAAGCAATTTTCAATGACTTTTAAGCATTTCACACAACTGTTGCCAGCACTTTAAAGCTCCAAAATGATTCAATTTGAATGTTATTTTCAATGGAATGACCAAAATATACTGTGGTGAACAAACACTTCTCACCATCAAATCACCATTATAACCTGTAGATGGCAACAGAGGAGCACTTGCTGGTTTATTAGACATTAATTTATACCTTTTCCTCTATATTTTGAAATTATAAAATAATTATAAAATCACTAGGCTCAAATCATCAAGAAATCAGATTTTGACAGAGTTTTGCTCTTTTTTTGTGTGTGTATGAAGTAAGAAACTTTTCTTCAATTTGCGACTAAATCACACATAATCACTGAAGTTGTTGGTCAGTTCCATGTAAGACTATAGAAGAATAATGGTACATTTAATAAGAGTACAATATATACCTTTTCTACATAAAAATTTGATTTTGCACATTAAATTGTTGTTTTTGTTAATAAAATATATTTTGTAAGCTTCCCAACTCAGGCTTTGTGCTTTACTGTCAAATGTGTATAAACATGAAATAAACAATGAACATGTAATATTATTAGTAACTGCACTTATTAATGCAAAACAATAGTAATTTTTTCATGATATATGTTTTTTTCATATCCCTCTGAAATTAAAAGAATACTGCACATTGTAATTTTTATGAGTTAAGTCTATTTATTATCAAAGTATATGTCAGTAATACAGTTAAAATGGGGAAAATATGTGAACGATTGCATTGCAGGCTGATTTAAGGTGTGCCTCTAAATTTTCTGCTTGTGCTCCTAAAAATTTTCAATCAGGGGCTACAGTGCTCCTAGTAAAAATAGTTAGTCTGAAGCCCTGGCTCGGATCTCGCTCCACCAGTGATGTACTCAGCCGCTTTCTGTATGCTCAGAAAACCGTATCAGAAGTTTTAACTAATATGGTTTAAAACGCATGATTTCAGTGCAATAGACATGATAATCAAAACCAAACAGATGTTTTTTTGGCAGAGTATCTGAGATAGGAGCTGTAAATGCACAGCCCTATTCTGGAAAAGGGGCGGGAGTTGCATTTAAAGAGACATGCACGAAAACAGTGTGTTTACGCTTACACTGAAAATAGGCATTTCCAAAATGATATAATAAATGATTGGTGGGGTATTTTGAGTTTCAAAATAATTGAAATTTCACAGACACATTCTGGGGACTTGTATAACATCTTGTAGCAAGGGGCATAATAGGTGCCCTTCAACATTAGATGATGTGTATAAATCATCTTGATATTATCATATGATTTTTTGATTCATATTGTAGCGTTCGCTCATCCAAACAAATGCTTGTCCGTCCTTCTCCAGAGCTTTCGTAATGAAGTGTCCAACTGCTTTTCAATCAACAGCTTGTTGTCAAGGTAACCACTCCATTAATTTGCATCCTTTCCTGATAATGTGTTCCAGGGCTCCAGAGATCATCCTGGGCTTACCCTTCTGTGAGGCCATAGACATGTGGTCACTGGGCTGCGTCATCGCTGAGCTCTTTTTGGGCTGGCCGCTTTATCCAGGAGCACTGGAGTATGACCAGGTAAGATCAGCCAGTGATCTCGGATAATGACCCACTTTGTTACGTCTGGGCGACATTTGCTTTTTTTCAGAGGAAGTCTTTGCGATAAGTTTCTTCTCAAAGAAAAGAAAATTGACGTTGTTAGTAGCAGCAGTGTTGTGCAAAACTACAAATTTTCAGAATCTATGAGTTTATGGGTGCCTGTGTACTAAAACAGGATGCAGGCATCTTGTGACTTGTTTTTAAAAGAGACTATTTTATCTTGAATTCAGCATCTTAACACAAGTTGTGTCGCAAAACTCGGTTAATGCACAGCATGCTAGTTAGAGATTGACCAATAGTGGATTTTGGATGACTGAGTTTATCTAGATTTTTTTTTTTCCTCTAGGAAGCACTAACACAAATAATTTCATAAAAGTATAATAAAAAAAAAAATGTATGTGAACTCCATGCACAAGAGGGTTAAGGCAGTGCTGGAAAATAATGGTGGCCACACAAAATATTGACACTTTGGGCCCAATTTGGACATTTTCACTTAGGGGTGTACTCACTTTTGTGGCCAGTGGTTTAGACATTAATGGCTGTGTGTTATTTTGAGGGGACAGCAAATTTTACACTTATACAAGCTGTACACTCACTACTTTACATTGTAGCAAATTGTAATTTCTTCAGTGTTGTTGTATAGCCCAAAATGCAATGAAATATTTTTTCTTTTTTTTTTCTTTTAATTTTATTACTTTTATTATTTTCATGATTATTTTTCTGGGTTCGTACGGTAATGAAAAACCTGGAAAAGTCATGGAATTTTATAACAGCGATTTCCAGGCCTGGAAAAATAAATAAACCCAGAAAGTTTCATGGAAAAGTCATGGTACAAATTTCTGTATAATAGAATTATGTTTAACCAGGTCCTGAGCTTCGGTCCGGGATTGTGCATATATCGCATAGTTTGCATAGTTTTACTCATTCCCGCAGCTTTTGAGTGTAAAATGAGGGAAATTCCTGCACACATTTATTAAATACTGCATGTAGGTTAGATGAGTAAATTATCCACACAGACTGTCTGATTAAGTCATTTGAAAACCGCATGAGTGATTCAGCTTCTCTTTCACTCTCTAGTGCAGCGGTTCCCAAACTGGGGTGAGCTACAGAAAAACGGCAATGGATAATGTCAGCCAGTTGAGTCTCACGCAGCCTATCTGTGTATAAGAGAATCTCATGGAGAAATCGAAACAAATTAACACAACAGCACAAAGAAAAAAACAGACTGTGGTAATGTAATGTATCTCTAACGTAGTTAAGCAACATGACACGACCAAGAGGGTGCAGTTTTTCCTGAAAACCAGTACGACTGCAAATCATTGACATTGATACAAGAGTTTAAACGAGTAGTTAATATTAAGTGACTTACATTTTAATACAATATTGTCAAAGTTGACTGTTTTTGCTCTCGAAAATAGTTCCAAACCAAGATCACAGCAGAACAGTCACGCATCTCAGAGCAACACACGTTACTGAATTATTCAATGTTTTTGAATGAATTGGGTGAGTCAATGATTCAATAACCCATTCATAATGACAGGCACTTGCTTCATTCTTAGATGAATTAGCCTTCTGAACAAATCGTTTGAATAAATGCCTCGATGACTGACCTACTGGCAGTTTACTTTCATATTTAAAAGTACCTTATATCTTAATTTTTGTCCAACATTTCATATTTGCATTATTAAAAAAAATCTGATTTAAAACACCAAGCTTATAACATTATATATGCTGTTGTAATTTTGCGGTGTAAATCTATTCATGCTACATTTTAGCTTTATTAAACTGTGTAAATGCATCTAAATGCCACTTCAGCTTCTTCTGTTTCTTCTGCAGTGGAAAGATTGGTTTTGTTAATACTGATTTCATTTGATTGGTAACAGCCCTATAGTGTCTTATTATATTAAGTGAAATTAAGAAAATGTAAGAATTTAATATGAAAGATGATGCATGCATTTAATAAGGTTAGGGGAAATGCCCTTTACATTAAAAAAATGAGCTGGAAATAAATTGAAATAGTTTAGTATGCAATAACTTCAGTCATATAAAATCACTCACTGCTCTTGACTGAATAACTTTTATAAATTTAATCTGTTTTTAATTTACAGTTTATTTAATTTCTATATATTTTTGTACCTGAGTACTACTGTTAGACTGAAACAGTTTCCGAAACAAAATTCAGGTCCTAAGTTTGTATTTGTGTTGTATTGTATTTATTTATTTAAAAAATCAGCCTGGGCTTATCCCATTAAAAAAAAAATAAAAAAAAAATTGTATATTTTATTTTAGGAGATCATCTTTGACTTGCCCTAACAATGTATTTTTGTTCATTACTATGTAATAAAATAAAATCATTATTGTAAGGATATATAATATAATATAATTAGTGCTGGGCAACGATTAATCGCGATTAATCACATCCAAAATAACCGTTTTTGTAGATATAATGTATGTGTGTGTACTGTGTATATTTATTATCTATATAAAAAGACCCACACATACAGTATATATTTTGAAAAATATTTACATTAATTTACTTGATATATTTATATTCATATAATTTATATATAAATATTTAAACATAACATATTTTTCTTAAGTATATGCATGCATGTGTGTGTATTTATATATACATAATAAATATACACAGTACACACACTTATATTATGTACACAAAAAACTTTTATTTTGGATGCGATTAGTCGCGATGAATCATTGCCCACCACTAAATATAATATAATTAGGGCTGGGCAAGTTAACGCGTTATCGCGCATCCCGCACACATGAGTCTCTACCCGCACGCACCCACACTTGCCCGTCAAGTGTTGTCCCGCATTGCACTCTGCTGCATTGGGTCCCGCGATAGTGCAGGTCTCTAAGGTGCCTGTTATAATGTTATGATCAAGGCTCTGGACTCTGAGCATAACTTGTTTTTCTATAACAAACTATAAAATATTTTCTATAAAAAACGTTAATGCCCTGGCAGTGGCAAATAGCTTGTTTTATATTTTATTTGATTACATTGTTATAAGTTGAGATTTACCAGAAATATTTTAACTGCTACTATCTAAAAGGAATACTGCTGTAAAAAAGCACCTTATTTGTTTAAAGTGTTTGCAAACCAAATGTTATTGCACTTTCATTCATATAACAGTACTTTTAAATGAAAAAAGTGCACAATACACTACTTTTGAATGCATTATTGAATTTTGTGCATAATGTGATTAATCGCAGACAATCATGCGATTTAAAAAGATTAAGCGTTGCCCAGCACTAAATATAATATAATATGTAATAAAATAGAATCTAATATTATGCTTAGATGACCATTGTGAATCTTGGTGCATGTAGATATCTTTGAATGTAGAATTTACACTAATTTAAATGCACATTTTTATTAAACATTCTGGGTACTATTTTCAGCCATCAGTAAGAGTATAGTGTGGTATTTAACACATTTTTCTATCAAAAATAGCATAATATAAAAAAACGTTGCAGATTATGCAACGGACTAGTTTTATTTATTTATTAGGTATGTCAGCTCAATACTTAAAGCGAATATCTTCAGATAACATGAAAGATAACTCGCACACATTAAAAACGTGTGAGCGCGTTTACCATCATGGACCAGTGCTGCCGATAAACCAGATGTCTGAGGTGGTGTAAATGGCGCTTATGACAGTAGCAAAACTAGCCAGCTGTGTAAGAATAGGGTGATTTGGGTTTGCTGACCACAAACCCCCAAGCCGCCTGTCCGTGCCAGCTATGGGTCCAGTTACACTCCACACAGCAGAATGTATTTATAACCGAAAGCCCCGCTCGCTCACACACACACACACACACACACACACACACCCTCTCTCTCTGCACTATCAGCAGGTTCTCACTTCAGTGTGCTCTGTGTTTGTGCAATGCTTTGGCAACCTGATCATGTCACTATAACACCCCTAAGATGCCATAAACACTGCTTGTTTAACACAGCCGTTTTGAGCCTCAGCGCTTGTAAAAGGAGAGGTGGCGTCATTGTCGAGAGAGGAAGAGACGGAGAGGAATGAGAGCAAGCAGCCAATGAGGGCTTTGTAGTGGCTTGTGTTTCACTGGTAGAGGCCCGCTGCGACACAGTCTTTCTGAGAAGCAACAGATGCACGCTTGAAGGCGAACGTCGGCAGAGTTCACTGACCAGTAATACTCGGTTTACCAAGGCAACAAGAACAATGGCGTTTTTACACAGAGACTCATGCATTTATGGGGTTGAACTCCTCCTGCCTTTCCTAAAAAGACAGAGCTGCGGTTAACCAAATACTGTTTAATGCCTTTGTCATGTTATTTGCGTTATGAGGTCATTGCTTTTATTTATAAAAGGATGCTATGGCAAACAAATCACAACACTAAAGCAGCGGAGTTGCTTTTTTGTTCTTAATTAGTTTAAGGCATAGGTAGTTAAAAGGGAGTAATGTGGCGTAATGGTTAAAGATCTGAGGTGATAACCTGTTACTATGAACTGAGGTCGAGTTAGACAAGTTATTGAAATCTATTCAAATGAAAAACCAAGCTGTCTTTAAGGTCATTGGTCATTTCTGGAAATGTGTTTTCAGCCTTTTGTTGATTAATTAATCAATACCGAGGGCAATATTTGCCCCTGGAATTGATTTTTACGGACAATTAATAAATAAAGAAAAATAACCTACTGATAAATATAAAATGAAATCCATATCAAGAAGCTATGAACAGTGCACAAGATACACTACCTTTCAAAAGTTTGGTTCTTTTAGATTGTTCAGTCTTTTTGAAAACAGTCTTGGGTAACTATTTTCTATTTTAATGTAGAAATTTTCTGTCTTAATGTAATTTATTTCTCTTACGCAAACCTGAATTTTCAGCATAATTACTCTAGGAGCCACATGATCCTTCAGAAATCATTCTAATATGCTGATTTACTGCTCAAGAAACATTTCATAATATCATCAGTGTTGAAAACAATTGTGTTGCTTAATATTTTTGTGCAAACTATAAATATTTCAAATGCATGCATATTTTAAAAAAGTATATTAGTGCTGTCAAACGATTAATCGTGATTAATCACATCCAAAATAAGATTGTTTACATAATATGTATGTGTGCTGTGTATATTTATTATGTATACACACACATGCATTTATCTATTTCCGAAAAATGTTATATTTATATATTAAATATATTTATGTATAATATAAATTATATGAATATAAGTAGACATGTCAATATTTTCAAAATATATACTGTATGAGTGTATTTATATATACATAATAAATATACACCGAACATGCATATATTATGCAAACAACAACTTTTATTTTGGATGCGATTAATCGTTTGACAGCACTAAAATATATATATTAGAGGTGGAACGGTTCAACTTACTCACGGTTCGGTTTGTATCACGGTTTTAGAGTCACGTTTTCGGTATGGTTCGGTATGTGCTATGTTTAGGCAAAAACTATACTGTCAAATAAAAATAAAGAAAATAAGAATAATCTATCTAACTACAAGCAACCATATTTCTGCTGCCGCTGCAAAACAACTGTAAACTGTTGTCTGTTTTAGGGTTTGCTGGTGTGTGTTTCATGGTCTTCCTCAGCCTGCAGCTGTAACAGGAAAATATAATATACTTAAGTAAAGCAATGGGTTGAGTCTGACTAAATGCAACATTAGATCATTGACAACAGCTAAAATATAACTTTCAGTAAATAACAAACCTCAGCTTTTATAATAAGTTTAGATAAGATTACATATATTTTAAGTCAAGTGTATATCAAATAAATGGAAACTGTTAAAAACACTTTACAATAAGATTCCATTTGTTAGATAACATGACCTATCAATAAACAATAGTTATATAGCAATTCTTCTTCTTAGGGTTAATTTCAAAATGTACTAATACATAAAATCAGTTCAGTCTGTTAAAATTATTTAATGCACAATGAACAAACATGAATGATCAAGTGTTTGTATTAAATAACATTCAAAAACATTAATTGTAAAAATATATTGTTCTCTAACTGTAAGCTGATGTTAGATAGTCTATACAGGAGATACAATTTGACTGTACTTTCATTTAATCCAAACTGTGTACATATTTAGTTATCTATACCTGCTAGAGTTATCCAGCCAAGAATAACAACTAACCAACTAGCTAAAAAAAAAAAAGCCCATAACTGTTTTTCTGACGGACTGATATAACATAAACGCTGTTAACCATTTGTACATTCTCTATCACGCATATTTTAGATTCACAATTCATTTAAAAGTCTCTGGTGTGTAAAAATAGTAAACACCACCATGTCCTCCTGTTTTTTTTTTTTACCCCAATAATAGTTATAGGAGCATTAAATAGTTCAGAAAGAAACTTCATTCTAATGCTCATTCTATTAGCGTTAGCCGCGCTTATGCAAACGGCAATGTTTCTTTCAATCTGACATTCACATTAAAATATGGAATAATATTCATAACAGAAGATCGAAATATTAAAAATAAAATGGAAACTTGCCTGCTTGAACTCTTTCATTTGCTCTGGGTGTCGGTCTTTAAAGTGTTTTGTTAGTTTGATGCGCATCTTTCGGATAGCGCATCAAGAACCGGGATGACCGGGTATATATATGTAACAGCAGCTCATTTGTATTTAAAGAGACAGACCCGAAAAACGGCGTCTGCAAAAGCAAATGCTAGTCTAAATTGACAGCTACAGGTCAGCTATGAACAGTTCAGAGATGCTAGCCTGATACTAAACCCCTATTTTAAGTGTAGAATAACAGGAAATATATAAAATGTTAGTTGGCAGATAAAAATCCCATTGAAATGCATTATGGGGACTTTTTTTTTCATCCACGTCGTACATTTTTGTCACTTTCAGGATAAATTTTGTTACTTCCAGTGGCATTTTCCCTGATCCATGGTTCATTTCTGACCCTGTCATTTGCTTCAAATTAAACATGCCATTTCCTGACTAAGGTCAGATGTGCCCTTGAGCGAGACACTTAAACCTAAGTTGCTTTATGGAAGCTGTCCATGTAATGAGTTGTACTATAAATCGATCTGGATTAAAAACATCAGCCAAATGGTAAAGAACGCATTTCTCAATGTTGGCTTGCCTGTTCAGTGTGAGAGGATTGACATCTGTTGTGGGCAGAAAGAGTGGCCAACATCTTGACTTGGCATCTTAACAAAGCCTTGAGTAGCAGCAGACCCCATACTGCGCTCTGTATTAAGAGTGAAACATCATGAAACGCTACTCAGAGCTTGAAATAACAACTGAAGTTATTTGCTTATTTTTGTCTCTTTTGTTGTGCGGTTTTTGCTGATTCATGTTGATTGATATCACTGTGTGGTTTGTAGCTTCTTGAAACCTTTTTTCATCCTGAAGATGCACAATCACAGGTGACATCAATTAATATTTGATGCCTACAAATAAATTCAAGCCATTTTTATCTTTAGTAAGCACTATGCTTATGGTACGAATATACTTGTCAAGACAAAATGCCTTTCTGAACTGTGAACATTGGTATTTTGGCACAGTTTTCCTGCTGCATACCACTTTTATGGACCTGCCTATGCTAGACCCGTCTTATCTCATATTACTTCCTCTTGTAATAGTGGAAAAGTACCAATACGCGTGTTTCCATCATGTTGTAATGATTTGTGAATCAATCAAGAGATTCTTGTCAAGAACGTTGAGATGGATTTAGCTTTACTTATCAGAAATGATAATGTTGAGATCCACTAATGCTATAAATGTCTCCGCAGATTCGTTACATCTCTCAAACTCAAGGGTTTCCCGGAGAGCAGCTTCTGAACGTGGGGACGAAGACGGCCCGATTCTTCTGCAAGGAGTCCAATTTACCATACGCCACATGGAGACTGAAGGCAAGGGTCCATTTATCGTCCACTTTACCAGACATTGCTGTCATAAATTTACTGCATAGCTCTCGGGATCGAGTTACTGTCTGCTCTGCATAAAGTTTTGATGTAAAGTTCTTATGTAATGACTTCAAACACGCTTCCTGTTTCTGCAGACGACTGAAGAACATGAGAAAGCAACAGGACTGAAGTCCAAGGAGGCGAGGAAGTACATTTTCAGCTGTCTAGATGACATTGGACATGTACGTTTTTGCTTGCAAATGCTTGTTATACATCAGGGCTGCACAAACTCGGTCCTGGAGGGCCGATGTCCTGCAGAGTTTAGCTCCAGCTTGCCTCAACACACCTGCCAGGAAGTTTCTAGTATGCCTAGAAAGAGCTTTATTAGCTGGTTTAGGTGTGTCTAATTGGGGTTGGAGCTAAACTCTGCATGACACCGGCCCTCCAGGAACGAGTTTGGGCACCCCTGCACCAGACCTCTTCTTGGCCTGCAACAAGAAGTGAGGTTGGGAAATCTCTGTGGTGCACTTGCAGCTAAACGCATGTTTCCTGTGGTGATTTTGTGCCTTATAAAGTGCATCTAATTGGGGTTGGAGCTAACCTCTGCATGACACCGGCCCTCCAGGACCGAGTTTGGGCACCCCTGTTATACATCATCATGAGGAAAAAAACATTTGAGGAGTTACTATTATTATTATTATTATTATTAATACTATGTTATGGTTAATAATAATAATATACATTTTACAGCATTATTATATAGAATAATAACTATTCTAATTATAAATAATATATTAAGTTATTATATTTTAATTAATATTTATTAATGTTGTTTTTTTATTATAAGTATTAATTTTATTATTAATAACAATAATGATAATTTATGTACAATACTGTAATTATATTGGAATTACAATATTGTATTATATTATATGCATATATAAAATAATAAATGTTGTGTTTTGTTATTATATTAATGTTTTATAAATATGCTATATATATATATATTATTTAAATAATAGTCATAATAATATTGTTGTTGTTGTTAATACTATATATTATGGTTATTAATAATATTATACTGTAATATTAACAACACTTATCATTATTATATAGAATAATAGTGATTCTAATATAAATATTATGATTAAATTATATTATATTTTAGTTAATACTATTACTGTTATTTTTATTATACGTAATTTCTATTAATAATGATATTAATGCTCATTTATATACAATAATGTAATGAACATGTATATAAAATAATGAATGATATGCTGTTGTTGTTGTTTTACATATATACTGTATATACTATTACATAAAAATAATAATAGTAGTAAAAAAATAAATAATACAAATTATTATTATTTTTGTATTCATTTATCAGGTGAATCTAATGCTCAACATGGAGGGCTGTGACCAGTTGGCGGAGAAGGCTGACAGGAGAGAATTCGTGCACCTGCTAAAGATGATGCTGATGATTGATGCCGATCAGAGAATCACCCCTTCAGATGCACTTACCCACCCTTTTGTCACTATGCAGCACCTGATGGATTTCCCCCATTGCAACCAGTATGTCCAGACTTTTTTTAATGCCAGTTTCACTGCCTGTCTTCTCTATTATGTGTGGTCGTTCTCAAGGAATGTGTCTCCAACAGTGTCCAGTCTTGTTTCCACATCATGGACGTGTGTCACTCAAGAACCAGCATGTACGATACTCTCAACCGCAACAAAGCACCCCCACTTATGAAGCCTGTGACGCTTCCAAGTGCTCCAAATATCACTGTCGCCTTCAACAAAATGCCATCTGTCCACTCTCAGGTAAAAGCGCACACTCTGAAAAGACTTGGGGTTTAACTGTAAACAAGAAAACAACAGATTGTTCCTCTATTTTATCTATTTACCTTTCCGCTTTAGACCCTGGCACCTTCTGCTCCACCTGTGGTGCATCCAGGAATTCCCATCCAGACAGGAAGCGCCCAGTTTGGGTGTAACGAGTCCTTTCAGCAGGCACTCATTCTATGCCCTCCTACTCTTCAAGGTAGTAGAAAGCGCATCACAGTGAGATATGCATTATAATTTGAACTAGGGATGCATAATTTGCATTGCAATTTTTCAAAAAATCTTGTAATTGCAATTTCAAATGTGATGAAACAAAAAGTTTGTTGTACTTCTTTTTTTAGGGCTGCACAATTTGGCCTAAGACTTTGTGATTATATAAATCAATGATTATGTTTCTAAAATATCTAGCGATTGTGACTTTAAAAAAAGTTTGTTGTAGGGCTGCACAATTTGGCCTAAAAAAATTTGGGATTATATAAATCAATATGATTATAAAATGATTGATTAAAAATATATATATTTTCCTGTAAAAATAATAATTGTTATTATTATGATGATTACTACTACTGTTACTACTAAATTAAAATATTAAACTATATTAAATGCTTATATGATTATAGAAGAATTGATATGATTATAAAATAATAATGACTATGATCATATTAATTGTACTGTAAAATAAAATAACATTAATGTTAATTTACTGTTATTATTATTGTTATTATAATTGCTAAAATTAAAAAAATAACAAAATAAATGACTTTTTAGTAATAAGAATTATTGCTAATATTTCACTGTAAAATAAATTTTAAAAATACAGTATTTAAGAAAAAAATACTAATATAATAGTTTTATTTTACAGTACAACCATCAAGCTTTTATAATAGTGGAAACCGTAGGGAGATCTTAAAACTTCTCTTTTGTGGACAACAGCCGGTTTATAAATTACATGCATGTTGCATTCTTAAATGCATGTTATAAGTGACATCCATATTGCAAATCTATAATTTATTTAAATTAATGTTGCAGCCCTAATTTAAATTGAGCATTACTATTAATTTTCAATGTAATATTGTGTGGAGCTGATTTGGTTGTTTGACTCTACAGGAATCCCTTCAAACCCAAATCAGCCAGGAGGATATTCGGTTCGAATGGAGAACACTCTTTCTCTGGTGACCCAAGCCCCAGCTATCCAGCCTTTACCCATGAGACCAGGAGTTATAGCACAAGTAAGTCCTCATTTCACACGATGATGTGGAAAAATAATGGAAAATAGCCGAGGGTTGTTATCCACATTGACATACCAGTTTCGATATTAAACTCGAAGCCAGATACATTACAAAAGTTCAGCATTGTCCTTTTTTGACCTTTCAGCAGCCGTGGTCCAACAGAACTCCACAGATCCTGGTGCCAGCTTGGCAGCAGGTCCCGCCACCTGCTACGAGCTTGGCATGCGATACAGTTGTTGGACCGCAGAGGCGAGGAGATTGGGGGTAAGATGATCAAGAAGGAGCCGCACCTCAAATATCATGTGCTGACACCACCACATTTCGGTGACGTAAAATGTGTTTTTTTTTTTATCTGTTAAAGGAAAGTGCGGCCACACAGCAGCCATTACGGTTCGGTGATGCCCCAGCCTATTGTTCCCAACCAAATGGCTGTGTCAGCCCATCAGCCTATAAACATTGGCATTGCTCATGTGGTCTGGCCTCAGCCTGCATCCAACAAGAGGAACAAACCCAGTCAGAACAGGTGAGCAACAGCCTACAGTCATTGGCAGGGCCACAAAACCCCTCCATTCGAACATTATGATACTCTTCTGTTAGGCTGCTCATTTGGGTTTTTACTCTGTTTCACCAAAAGGCAAAGTTGAGCTGATTATTATCATTTGTGCTGCTTTTTAGGAGTATGAATGTCTCGCACTACACGGACACACAGCCCTCAGTGTGTCCGTCACCAAAGATGGCGGACAGGTTGGCGAGTGCGGAGCCACAGCCGAGCTCTCCTGACAGAGAGGTGCAGGCCCAGGTGAAACCGGAGCAGGTGGAGGAGAAGAGTTGCTGTAAGGCGGCGGTGGCCAATCAGCAGCGAGAGTCTGTTATTATCAGAGAGTCACCCAGCCCGGCTGTAAGCGTCATTAGCATAAGCAGCGGCACAGATGAAGAGGAACAAGCACAGAGGTGCTTATTAAACATTCATTATGCACAAGTTTTACTGTTTTTTGTTTTTATACAGTAAAAAATACAGTAATATTGTGAAATGTTATTACTATTTAAAATTACTATTTTCTATTATAATATTTTATAAAGTGTAATCTATTCCTGTGATGGCAAAGCTGAATTTTGATGAAAGTTTTTTTTTTTCTTTTCTCTAGACAGTTTTAATGGTTAAATTGCATTTTATTTATGGATGCACGATATTATCGGACTGATATCGGAATCTGCTGATAATGGCTTTGAATGTACATATCGGCCCGATATGAAAAAGTATGCCGATATGTTTTGCCGATAAGAGGAATAGGTTAACTCACGTGCTCAGGGTGTGCTAGCGATTAGATCACGTCAGCAGTGTGACTCATTTTTGAAGCAAAGTTTTGCCTGAATAGTGTTTAGATTCACTGTTTTGGATCGCTGCATTTAAACTGAGAATGCATGTACAGAATGATGCGTGCGATGTATGATAGAGTAAACAGTATTAGCACGTGCAGCAGCAACAGCCTCCCCCGGGTTTATTTATAGTTATTTTCAAAGCTTCAATGTACTGTCAATATAAAAGAACTTCATTATTGTTTATTTAAATCTAACAAATAAGTTCTTATTAAAAATGAACCAAAATTTTAATTAATGTGCTTATAATTTTCTTCACAGGAGAGACTTGGTGTTGTTTCCAAACAAAAGAAAATATTTCGGCATCGGCTATTGGCCAAAAAGAGTTGAAAAATATCGGCAAAAATCTAATATCGTGCATCCCTAATTGTATTAATCCAAAAGCATGTTTAATTAACGGAGATAATGAAACTTTCACAATTTAATAGCAATTTATTAAAAGTTTAACAAAAAAATACATTTTTAGGGCCCTACGAGATACGTTTTATTTTTTTCTCAAATTCAGTTTTATTTTTACCAAATTCTGTTTTCCATTTTATTTTTCTGGATTCCATTTTAATGGTTTAACTATATTTTAATAATCAAAAACATCTTTAATTAATTGACTTATATTAAAATCATAGAGCCATATCAAAAGAACAGCATTTATGTGAAATGAGAATCTTTTGTAACATTTATCAATTTCTTTACAATTTTCTGTTTTTTATCAATTTAATGCATCATTGCTGGATAAAAGTATTATTTGCCTTCCCTAAAAAACAAACAAAAATGCTACTGTAAATATTCAGCAAGCTGGCAGAAGTGGTGACTTATTTCACTTTCAAACTGATTATCACTGATATTAATCATAACGAAGGTCATTTGCATATAGAACTACCCTCTTTAATTCTGAGGGTCAGTGAGAGAGGGTACATTTATGACTTTTTGACCAAGTAGATTTCAGGGAAATAAACAATATGCTACAAAAAATGCTATCAGTTGTGGACTAAAATTTCAGATTCTGTTTAGCTTGCATACATATGGCTCTCGTAGCTAAATTGAGTTGCGTGTGTTCTTTGACAGGTGTAAGGGCAGTCCGGAGTGTGAGGCATGCACAGGCTCTCTGAACATGGAGCGAGTGTGTTCCCTCAGCAGTCCTGATAGCAGTCTGAGCACCAGCTCCTCAGCCTCGGCACAATCCAGCCCCTCGCCATGCAAAAGACCCAGCAGGTACTGTATTTTATTTTTAAAACATGTAGAACTGTGAGGTGAGGTTGAGTCTATATGTATTTTGATGCGGGTTGTTTTCTTCTGTGACTTACTGCAGTATATCAGAAGATGACGGCCATGAAAGTGGGTGTGAAACAGTAGACAGCTCACCCCCTTCAGACTCCTCCCTAGGGCCCCACGACAGCCCCTTCCCTGAAAGACGCTTTCTGACCAATCAAAACCAGAACCGGAAACCCCAGGCCAGGCGTGGACACCCCAACACAGTGCTGAATAAACCTGCGGTGAGGACCGTGGTGGTGCCGCCCATGAGAGTGCTGAACAATAACCATCACCCCAACAATGAGCAGCTCACAATCGGCACAGGTATGGAAGAATAAGTCTAGTTGTAGGTTATCGGAAACATGTGAAAGATTCTAATGGAAGTTGAGCAGTTGTTGGTGCTTCGATGTTTTCTTAAAATAACGTTCTGGGTTTGATACAGGCTGTTTTGTACTAAGAAAAATCATTTTAATTTGTTTTTCATAAATAATTCTAACAAGCTGATTTGGTGTTCAAGAAACATTTATCATCATCAATGATGAAAACAGTTGTGCTGCTTAATATTTATGTGGATAATATTTCTGATAAAAAAAAATTTCTCCAAGATTTTGATGAATAGAACGTTCAAAAGAACAGCGTTTATTTTAAATAGAAATTAGGGATGGATGATATGACCTAAAAATCTAAATCTCGATTAATTGAACACTTTACCTCAATTACCGTATTGACCCGAATATAAGACAATGTTTTTTTCTTGGAAATACATCTGAAAAAACTCAGTCGTCTTATATTCAGGGTCTAGACTTTGACATGTCGATAATACACCCACAACAATAGGTGGCGCCAAATATGCATAAAACGAGTGTGCCGTGAAATATGTAATGTAATGCGTGTTGTAAAGATCGCGAGAAAAAACTAAATAATAAGAAAAGCTTACAGCTGCATGAGTCGTGACTGTCACCTTAGCCTAATGGGACCAAACTCCCTTTGTGATTTTAAAACGTAAGACCGTACCCAGATTTGAAGACTACAGTAAGATTTAACTTCTACTGTTAATAAGATTTTGGTAGGCTACTATTAGATGGATAGCCTAAATGTCCTAATTCAGATGGGCTACCTGTTTTTTTTTTTTTTTTTTTATGATATATCAAAAAGTGTATATTTTTTTAATGTGATTGTTGGTACATTTTACCAGTTTTTACCATACTTTCAAAACAAAAATAAAAATATGAAAATAATTGAAGACAGAATGTGTTTTACTGAGAAAAAACAAGATTTGGTTTTTTAGAAGCCTTTTTCCAAAAGGTACATCTGGAAAAAGGGGGGTCGTCTTATAATCAGGATCGTCTTATGTTCGGGCCAATATGGTACATTTAATAAACAATTATTTTGAATCACATGACAATCACATCCGATTTATTGTGCAGCCCTAATTTAATGGATTCTTGCTGAATAATAGTTTTAATTTCCTTTTATAATAGTATTGAATTCTTATTCTTGTATATTTTAATGGCTTTACATGACATGAGTTTGGAGTATAAATTTGCAAAAACTAGTGCTTTCTTCCCCTTTTTTTGTGATAGAACATATTTAAGTGTGTCAGCTATATTTTCAAAAATGTGTTTTAACGTGTATCCTAGTGTGATGCTGTGCTAAATAGATAAAATGACCAAAAACTGTTTGAATAGCTAAACTACTTTTGTCAAACCCAGAATGTTCCTTTAATGTCTTGTGTAGGTTAATGTACAACTGTTTCATGAAACACTATTTGCATTTCATTTACATCCACAGCTCAGATTTTACGTAGCTACATAGTGAAAACCTAAACTTGACTTGCTTTGTCCTGTACCTTTTGACAGTTGCTGCTTGTTCAGATCTAGTTTTGTGAAACTGCTGTTTGTGTTCTATACAGACTGATTTCTCTAAATTGATTTTTTCCCCCCAGTCTCAAATTGGGCCATCAATACAAAGTTCCTTCTGCACAGACAATTTTTTTTAGTGTGGTCACAGCCAATGTCTACTTTACAGGTCATAGGAGAGAAACAGGAAGTTGTCACAGAGGCTATCACAGGTGATTATGGGTATAGCGTGCACTGCGACCCAGTGTCTTGTGTTTCTTATTCTTGTATATTTTAATGGCTTTACATGACATGAGTTTGGAGTATAAATTTGCAAAAACTAGTGCTTTCTTCCCCTTTTTTTGTGATAGAACATATTTAAGTGTGTCAGCTATATTTTCAAAAATGTGTTTTAACGTGTATCCTATCTAGCTAAATAGATAAAATGACCAAAAACTGTTTGAATAGCTAAACTACTTTTGTCAAACCCAGAATGTTCCTTTAATGTCTTGTGTAGGTTAATGTACAACTGTTTCATGAAACACTATTTGCATTTCATTTACATCCACAGCTCAGATTTTACGTAGCTACATAGTGAAAACCTAAACTTGACTTGCTTTGTCCTGTACCTTTTGACAGTTGCTGCTTGTTCAGATCTAGTTTTGTGAAACTGCTGTTTGTGTTCTATACAGACTGATTTCTCTAAATTGATTTTTTCCCCCCAGTCTCAAATTGGGCCATCAATACAAAGTTCCTTCTGCACAGCCAATTTTTTTTAGTGTGGTCACAGCCAATGTCTACTTTACAGGTCATAGGAGAGAAACAGGAAGTTGTCACAGAGGCTATCACAGGTGATTATGGGTATAGCGTGCACTGCGACCCAGTGTCTTGTGCGCTACATCCCAGTGTTGAGTGAGACCCTTTCAGTTTGAGCTTCCTCTCCCATACCTGATCTCTTCATTCCCGTCTTCGTTTTTACTCTGCGTGTTGACTGCCCTAAATTTATTTACTTTTTTTTTTAAGAAAATATTTTGCCGGCCTCCCCCTTTTGTACCAAAGCATATCTGTCCTGTTTCCTATGTGGAGCCAATGCTTTGTTTTCGACGCATGCTATGAAAGAAATATTGCTGGAGCGGTAAACTCTTTAAGATGCTTCTCATGGCACTTTACCCAGGCAACCTGTTTGTTTTGGGGTGTCCATGGAAAGTTTGAGGAGAGTTTATGTTTTAGATACATTGCTATCTAAGTTTGTTTTATTCGTTTTTCAACCTCGCAGTTCAAACTTTTTGGTTTTGATGTTTAATTCATTTTCTTTTGAACAGAACGTCAGTGAATACTGGCAGCCGATTCAGTTCGTACAAGCTGCAGTTCTTGTGCCAAACTGCAAATGTTAATTTAAATAAGCTGAAGTTTTGCATTTAAGTTAAATCATCTTTTTTAGGCATTTTATTTAATGATCACTCACTTTTTGGTCTTTTCTACTTTCTTCAGTCTTAGAATCCTCCTGCCAGCCCAGAGGTCGCTACGGCCCAGGACGACTGAGCCACCTTTCCACACCCACGCTGCCTCGCCAGCAGAAACTGAGCTCTTCATTCCAGCCACAGCCGCCAGGCTTTGGCCAGGTATGTCATGTTGCCTTTTCTCTGTAATACTGTCCAAATTGTAAATGTAGAGAAATGCTACCAACTAGCAAGTAGCCATTCATAGATTATGGTGTTAACTAAAGGCTATTGGTCTATTAAAAAAAGAAAGAAAAATAATAAAAAAAAAAAAAAAAGGAAATGTCACCCTATCATTTTTGTAAATGCATGTTTTAGATTTAGTTTTTTTTTTTTTTAAGATTGTTTTAGTCCCCTTCTGTTTACACTTGGATGTCCATCAAAAGAAAAAGAAAAGATTTGTCATTACTTCCAAATTATTGTGATTTTAAATAGGAAATACGTTGAGACTGGGCAGTTCATAAGGTCTTTCAGTTGCTATTTAAAGGATTAGTTCAGAATAAACATTTCAATGATGTACTCACACCCATGTCATCCGAGATGTTCATGTCTTTCTTTCTTCAGTCGAAAAGATCCTGGAATATTTTCTCAAAAAAAATTGTAAAAAATTTTTACCTGAAGAAAGACGTAAACACTTTGGATGACATGGAGGTGACATCCTTTAATGACATCCTTTAAATTGTTGGAACGAAAATGACATTTTGTTTCCTTCCGCTCAGGTCCAGCATTACGGGTCTTTCCACAAGGAGTGGAACGGCAACTACCGGCAGCCGCGCCGGCCACAGGCCTTCATCCCGCCCACAGTGCACGGCCCCACCTTCCCGCTTCCCCATGGCAGCCCCACACACTCGGCCGGTCACCCGCCACCTCCCGCCCTCCTCTCCTATCCGCCTTCCGCGCCCGTGGCCCACCTCTTGCCTTCGCCGTGCCCACCGCCGGCCCCTCGGCCCATCTTGCAGCCCGCCTACAGCCTAGTGCACCACCAGGGCATCAGCGTGGGCATCAACCACAGGCTGCTGCCCTCCCCCACCCTGCTCTCGCAGGGCCAGTTCAAAGCCCTCTTTCCCCCGCACTCCTATGTGGCGTCACCCGTCTACGCAGGCTTCCCCCTCAGCCCCAGCAAACTCAGTCAGTACCCATACATCTGAGCTGGAGCCCGCGGCAGCCACGCGCACGCAGCCGGCACTGAGCCGCCACATGTTTCTTTTCTTATGAAGTTTGACAACAGTGATGATGATGATGCAAATCGAGCTTTATAGATATCATGGAGAATAAAACAAACGAATGCGTGAGTGAGCGAGTGGACACAAAACACAAAAGCTCACTTTTAATGTGTTTTTGCACATTTGATACAACAAAATCCCTAGTCGCGAGACCCTCGGCGGAGGGATCCCCTATGCTATTTTTTCGATATTGCCTTCTGACGTGTGTATTGGACTCTCGTTCAAGCCATCGCTGTCTCCAGTGTGCGTGCGAGTCCCCCTTGTGGAGACCTGGTGTTACCTGTCCGTATTTTCCTGTAGCTCCTCAGTGTTAAGTCTCCTTTAGACCGGTGTTGAAAAGGTTCTGTCATGCTGCATGTCTCTGCATGGGCAAAAACCAATGTTGGACTTCAAAAAAACGGGGGGGGGGCCCTGCAAACCGTCGCTTTTCACCCTCTGTGTATGTGTTGTACGACTTGCTGCATTGAATCCATTGGGGTTCAATAAACAGTGCCTTAAAATACATGTTGTTGCAAGTTACCCCGAGTCCCACATGCAGTCACGCGTGTACCAGACTGCAGCACTTGAAAAACCTTCAATCGTTCTTTGTGATTTTTACATTAGGGCTGTTTCATACCGTAGATATTTGGTTTTTCGTGCTTGGTGCATTAGCGCATTCGTTGTCTTACATAATCTATACATCGGTGTCGTTTCTACTTATTTAATTCATCTCTTGAGATCGCGACGGGAATTTTTGTTCAGAAAGACGATTGGGTGTCGATCCAAACACGGCCTAATGGGTCTCATGTCAATAAAATCTTGCTATTTGCGCCAAGATTTGGCTCATGATTTGCCCTTTAGAACAGGCGAAATATTTTGTTTGACGCCTTAGATGATTTGCGCATTATTCGGAAGCGAAACAGTCCTTTACGCATGGTATTTACAGATGGATGTATTGTGCTGAGTGGTAGCAGAGTTTGATTCTTCGAGGATAACGTGCTTCGCCGTAGCAGAGGCCGATGAACTATGTATAGAAACGTTTGAGTACTTTCCTATTTGATAATCTGTTTCTAATCTAATAGTATTTACACTGTTTAATGAAACTGCAATACAATCCATAGTTTTCGGGGTGTGTTTTTCGTTTTCTTTCCATCGATTCTGTTATTTTTAGAGTTAGAAGTGTTGTCGGTGTTGGATTTGTATCAGCAGATAGCTCTTTGATGATATTGTATGGTTTCATGTTTGCTTTGTGCAGAATTATTCAGTATTGAGTATCCAACTGTAAAGTCTGTCATTGCTGGAGTATTCAGTGCTTTATAAGATGAGAGTTGATCGTGTGCAGTTTTCTTCATAGATGCATGTGACAAGATTGGAGTGTTTTGTATTCCCTCTCTCACCATTTAATAGCTTTTTTGACGCTGGCTGTTTTGATTTCAAACATTCCGTCAGGGAGAAATAGCTTTTTTTCTGTGTGAATTTTTTTTTTTTATTATTATTAGATTTGAGTTTTTCCATTATAGGTGCATCCTTTCATTATGCTTTCGCTACACCAAAGACAGTAATTCATTTCTTAAGCAGAGTAGCTACTGTTTTAGCGTAGACCTCGAACGTAGTGTAGCTGAGGCTGTATTTAACAGAAAAATCGATGTAAAAATGTTGATGTTTAGCTTTTTCGGGCAAGTTATGACTTTGTTTCATTTATTCTTGAATGTATCATAGATAAGCTGCTATATACTGATTGCCACTTCATAATAGCTGTGAAATTAGATGATTAACTTTGTTCTTAGCCTTCTTATTTTTATATATGTCTAATGACCTTGAAATAGAAGTGAGATTTTTTTTTCCCCGTTTTTGTTTTTGTTTTTTTGGGTTTTACCGTACTGACTGGCATCAGAAGCATTTTAATGCCTCTCTCTGTTTTGCTTTCTTTTTTTTGAAGTGTCATTGTATCTACTGTATTGCAATTAATAGAGATTTTGGGGTTATTGTGTGCGTGGGTTTGTGTTCTTTTACGTTTAGTTTGCATCAGTGTTTTATCTGTTGTTATCTTGGGGCTAATCTAACGTATTAGATGCATATTGGTGTATATCTATCTTAGTACGTATATTTGCATTTTGTTAAAGCATAGCTTGCAGGATAGATTTAACGTTTTGTTTTAAGTATCAATATAAATTCTATATTCAACGACCCATTTCAGACTATTAATTTCAGTAATGCTATTAGCACTTGATATTTTAGATAAGCTAGCCAAAATTTCGGGTTTGGGCAAAAGTCTCAATTTGGGCGTCTCATCTCAGTAACTACAGTGCTTAAAATTGTTGTTTTTATTTAAATTCCCCCCTTATTATTGTAATTGTACATGAAATACACACATGAAATTGTATCAGGTATATTAATGTGTTTAGTAATGAAAACAACGATACAAAATGCACATTTTGCTTGTTTCAAAAAGCGGACTGTTCTGAATTACTAGGGCATCCGTTCTCATTTTGTGAGCGATTATTATATGGGTGTGTTCGTTCTCGTACCGGTCCCTGCTCTTTAAAGCGAGCGACACTGCGTTTAGTGCCTTTGAAATGTGCTTCAGACCTTTATATCCCTTTTACAAACACTGCCTGCCAGCCTCTTCCTCTCTTTCATGCTCCCTCGGAGGAGTGAAAGCATAACTGCAGTGTTTGATAGATGCTGATAACCTGATAACCAATAGCGAGTGTAGCTTGATAGTCATGCAATGCAGTAAACACCTTTAAGGTAGAAAAATGGAAGTTTGTTTCTCAAAATTGTGGAAAGGAAATCCAGTAATGCTTGATTAATCTATATTTTTATGACCAATGACAAAAACAATAATGAAATGATATCAGGGATTGTTATGATCATTGTTATGCTGACTAAACACCCAAGACACGGTTTTCTCGTATTTGGGGAGCTATACATGATACACTGTGAATGTAAACCACCATTTGTCAAGTAGAATGAACATTGCCCTTTGTTATCAGAGTTTATTGCTTTAGTGGAGCCGACTTCATGAAGATGCAGTCCAAAAAGTGGTGTGGTTTTTCCACATTATGTCCCTATAATTTATATTTAGCATGTAGCTCTAGAGACGAGTACTAAATTGCTACTCATGCGCACATTATATGAATTCACTGCATTAATTCACTGCTAGTAAACATTTCAGAGATGTTTTCATTCTAACAAGGTCTACCAAACCCAACCTAATGAGAGAGAATCTTAGCACAATTGCTAAGGACTGAGGGATCTGCAAACTAAAGTTGAAATGTCTTTGAAACTCCCAAACCAAACCGATTTAATTTGAGTTTGTTTTCTTTGATTCATGTTTTTCTTTGAGACATTTCTTGTACAGTTAATTCAGGGTCCTTGTATTTGTCATATGTGCTACTGTGTAACACTTGCCGTAAGATTTGGGGTTGGATTGCTTTAGGTCTATTTTTAACTCTTCTGCAGATTATATTTTAGTAAAAGTTAAATCTCACTGCAAGTTATCGGTAATATTTAGATTTAAGAGATTTACTAAATCTGAGCTGTTACTGTTTTCATATGTGTACCTTTTTTTTTCTTTTTTTTTCTTTTTTTTTTGTGGCTTTCTGATTTCTGTTTGCTTTTGATTTCTATGCTACATTAGTTTGCCATGTAGCCACTGCACTGTGCAATATTCACTATATGAGGACTGGGAAACCTTTTTTGTTTTTCCTTTTATTGTATTTTTTGGATGTAATGTCTCTTACAGTTTGCGGTCGTATTTCTCTCTAGTTCTCAGTGATTTATATGTGACCAAGCCTTATGTACTTTATCACAAAAAGCGGGTTTTCCTGGTGACTATTGGTGAGTGTCAAATTAAAGAAATGATGGTGTATTGTCAAAATTCACTTTGAATTAAAATATATATTGCTGCGGGCACACATTGTTTGTTTGTCTTTTTTTCCCCAACTTATTTGAGAACCTTTTCAAACTTGATGGATATTTGTTTCTAGACAAAATTCTTATCACCCAAAATACAAGGGTTTTATTTTGTGCACATTGTATGTATTTTGTCGTCTATTATATTTACATTCGATTTTTTTTGTTATGATTCTATTTAAAAATGAAAGCACAAGTAATATGGTATTAGAAAACCGTGCTTGACAAATGACCAAAATTGACCAAAAAAACAAAACGACCTGCACTCGTTGAAATTGCGCCATCATGTGGATGGAATCCAACTCTTTATGGTGCTTCCTGTTGTTATGTAATACACTTACCATATGAGCACACAAGGACATTTATTCTGCTAAAACCTCTCTAATAATTTGATGTTTATTTGAAAATCACTTGATTTAAGGAGCAGTTTCAGGTCAATTCATGCTGCAGTTCCACTCAATTTATGGTTTACTTGTATATTTATAACATTTTAACTGCACTATTTAACTATATATAATGAGAAGCCACTGAAAACTGGTAATTTTAGGATGGTATCAACATTCAATTTGGGCTCATAAACGCACCTTGCGGCTAAATTCACTTTGAAACTTTCGTTATTTGAAGGTATAGCAACATGAAAGATTACATTACGATTACTTTAGTTTAACTTCAGATTAGCCACACGATTTTTAACAAACCAATGTCTGGCATAACAAAAGGTGTAATAAAATGTGTACATCATAATAACAGGCTGTATGGTGTCGAGGGACAGTTTCAGGTTTTCATTGGTGTCTAGATGCGCACCAGTCATCCTCATGCAAACCCAGCAGAGGTCGTCTTCCTCTCGTGCATCAGTCCTTGTAAGAACGCGCCTCATCGCCAGTTCGCCTGCATAGCATACGCTGGCTCGGAGACGCGATATTTTTTCCCAGTCAAAAGCAGCCGGTTCTCCGTCGCAGCATCGCTGATATAACAGCGGGCTTCTAGGATCGCCGCTGCTGGATTCCTACGCTGGAGATGCGTTCGCTGAAGCGCGCGTGATTGATGTGGTGGTCACGGATGCTTCTGAATGCGCTTTGCAGACGTCTCGCCTTTAAAGTTTCAATGCTGAGCATAGAGCTGAAAAACAGTGGAGAGAAGACCTCAGTTTAAGGAACTGGAAAGGATAGATCAAATGTCTTTTTCGGGACCTTTCGGCCTATTGCTGAATTTATCTCTAGCCAGATGGCCCCAAGAAATACGCGTAACAGTTTCTACATTTTGGGCTCCGGTAGCGGGAATGGCAACGCTGGAACCCAAGGCATGTCGGAATGGATAGGCTTGTCCTTGAGCCGAAAATGTGTCGACTTGAACGGAGTGTGGACCAGGTGTCTGATATCTGTTGGAATTACATTGCTTCTGGTGCCGTCCATATTTGCCATAGACGGTGAGAGAGATATATATATATATATATATATATATATTGTTGACAGCCTGTTTGAGTGTCCAGCTTCCAAACCTTTCCAAAAAAAAAGGGTTCTTTTGTTTATGTTTAATTTCTGAAACTGTACGTTTGAATTTCAGTTGAACTATATTGTTTGGGGATTCTAATTGTTAAACGCAATGCGGAATATAAACTGGCCTTCTTATGAATGCGTTCTTTTAATGAATCATCTAGATTAAAGACCGTATAGCCTATGTGTGTTTGTTTTGTGTGCTATGTGTTTCGTTCCCTGTGGCTGATTGCGAGCAGAAGCTCTCAGACAAACAGCAGATGCAGGGAGCCCTCGCTTGTGTAGGAACGGCGCTGTCGGTGCTGCAGTGCTGGGCGCTCTGTGTTCGCTGCTCCGGTATATTTTATTATTCATTTTCAGTTCTTGCTGATTTTGCGCACTCGCAAAAATCACCAAGTGGCGGAGGGAATATGGAAAAGTAGCTGAGGTGAAGGAATTTGATTGATCTCAGTGACTCGAATCCTTTGAATGAACAAAATCCATTCATTTTCTGTTCTATCGATTCGCTATGTGAACAACTGATTCGCACCACTGACAAATAATCAGCAGTCTGTTCCCGGTTCGGTCAAATCGCTCACAAACAATATAGGATATTTTGTTCATCCACTTGCCATGAACTACATGTTTTGTTTATTGATTTGATTGACAAACTACACGTTTTGTTCATTCTATTACTAGTTAACGAACGAGATGCCGCTCAAAACTTTGATTCGTTCGGGGAGGGGGCGTATTCGTTCAGTAGGGCCAACCAATGAAATACTTCTTTACAGCCCGAACTCGAATTCTATTGGCTCCACCTATTGTCAGTCTTCGAGTCGTGCAGGGGAAAAAAGTCGCTCTTGGTAAAGGGAGAAATGTCGGACTGTTTTAACGGTGGTTGTTTGGTCTGAATTTGAGTTATGTTCTACCTCCCTTTTCACATTAGTTTTAATTTCTTGGTCTAAACCACTAAGCGTGAGTATCAGCGTAAGTACCACAGTGAGGACTAGCGAGGGATACTTTAAAGGGATAGTTCACCCAAAAATGAAAATGATATCATTAATTACTCTTCCAAACCCGTAAGACCTTCGTTCATCCTCAGAACACAAATTAAGATATTTTTGATGAAATCCGAGCGCTCTCTGACCCTCCCATATAGACGGCAAGGGTACTACCACGGTCAAGGCACAGAAACCTAGTAAAAACATCGTTAAAATAGTCCATGTGACATCAGTGGTTCAACACTAATTTTGAGAATCTACCAGAATCATTTTTGTGTGCAAAGAAAACAAATATAACGACTTTATTCAACAATTCGCCTCCTCCGCTTTGGTGCCATTTTGGAGAGTATCACGATGCATGCGCATGCGATGATCTAAATGTAAACAACGTATGCGTGTGGTGCTGTTGACACAGAACATGCATGTGCTGCGCTGTTTACGTTCAGATCAAAGCACGTGCATACGTTGTTTAACAATGTTCTTACTATGTTTCTGGGCCTTGAATGTGGTAGTAGCCTTGCTGTCTATGGAGGGGCAGAGAGCTCTCGGATTTCATCAAAAATATCTTAATTTGTGTTCCGAAGATGAACGAAGGTCTTACGGGTTTGGAACGACATGAGGGTGCAGTTCTGGAAAAGAAAAAAAAATCATGTCACTTCCATGATTTAGAACGGATTGCTTTCATATTCAATGCCAAGCGTACCTAAGACACGTTCACACCAATGACAGAACGTCAAACGGACTCAGTTCGACAGCAAAACCACTAGTGCTCCATGTGAACAAAGAATTCGTTCAGTTAAATTATTTATTCAACTACAAAAACGGTTTGGTTCAGACAGCAACTGCAATTACAGTTTACTGTTGTAATTCTTTTTGAAAGTCAAGACAAGCCAAGATTTAAATTCAAAATTATTATTTTTTTAACCATAAACCAACTTTCTCACAATCTTCAAGGAGACAAGTGTTTAACTGTGTCAAAAATACATAAGAAGATTCATATCCACAGTTATAACACATCATAAATCTAAGTCTTTTAAAAAATATATTTTAGACACTATACTTTGTGTTAAATTACATAGTCACTAAACTCTAATGCTGCTGTGTGGGTGTTTCCAACAGAAGGGCTGAACGAGTCATGGAAAATTTGACGTATTTCTCTCTTTTGACCACCATAATGTATCTCTATATTTTTTCCCCTCTTTAGAAAAGTCATAGAAGCGCTGTTGAGCATTTTGTCTTTTTTACAGGATAAAGTAAGAACACAAAAAGTATATATTTTTTTATGGTTTCCATTCACAATTATAAAAATTTACCCAATAAGACGACTTTCCCTTCTCAGAACCCTGGAAGTGTTAAAAGCATCCATTTACCAAACAAGTGAATACATGGCCATGAAATATTTGAGCTATTGAATAATTGTATTATCTTGTAGAAACTGCGGAGAGACAGAACATCAGCACAGCCAGTAGAAAACATTGGTTTTCCTGATAAGCGGTCAGTTATACAGTGTTATACTTGACAATAGTAATTTATTCATTAATAGAACGATGCAACTACTGTAACCAATCAAAAGCAAGTATTCTAAAGAGCTGTGTAATAATAAGATGCAATTGATTTTCAGTCTACGTCAGTGACAGTATAGCAAAGTAAGTCCATGTTGTTGGCCGTTTGCTGACATATCAATTGTTGTATCTATTCCTAATATCCTTGGCCTTTGACCCCATCCCCATTCCTCCTCAAAATGATACTCAAGTATAGACATTTCTAGTGGTACATTAATACGGCACTTCCAACCCCATTCACTTCTCTACTAATGAAAAGTGTTGCAATATATCAGTAGCCTTTGCCTGAGGACCAGAAGAGCATTTAACCAAAAAATTATTTAATTTGTGCATGAGGACCAGAAGAGCATTTAACCAAAAATGATTTAATCTGTGCAAACAAGTTCAGCGCTGATTATGTGAACTAACTCCAGGCATGACGTCCCTTTCTCGAAACAGCACAGTATCAAAAAGGCAGATTAGATTTTCTAATGCTAGAATTACAAGATAAATACATTTCTAAAGCTAGAATTACACCAGATTAGTTTTATTCAGGCACACAGACATGCATGGGTCTGGACCATAGGCTTAATACACAGAGGTAAAGAGCCTATGCCTTTTCATTCATAAAACCACCATTGTCCTTTTGGCTTTGAGCTGGGTCTATGGCGTATGGCCAGACACACTTGTGGCTTGCTGAGGATGAGGCATCTCTCCTCAATGCCCCTACAGTGATGCTCCTGCTAGTCAACAGGAGCCT